TGGAATTTACTTTACATTAACTTTGACCTGTCAGTTTGTGAAGGAGACGGACAATGAGGTGAGGATGCGTCTGCTGCAGTTCGTCACGGGGACCTGCCGCCTGCCCCTGGGAGGCTTCGCCGAGCTCATGGGTGAGTGCCGCCTGCGGTCGCCGTCACAGGGCGTGCGCGGGCGGGAGGAGGGAGCAGGCCTCTAGATCCTGGTCTTTGTGCAGATGTGACGCTTGCTCCATCACCCGCGTGACCACGTGACATGTTCTATTAGGTAAGTAGTTGCAACACCGAAAGGTTTGAAGGACCAGATAAATTTTGTCTTATTTTTCTGGTTTAGGAAGTAATGGGCCTCAAAAGTTTTGCATTGAAAAAGTTGGGAAAGACACCTGGTTACCAAGAAGCCATACGTGGTAAGTTGAACCCTAAATGGAAGGTGGAAGCCAGTGTTTTGCTTTTTTACATGTAAGACCCATTAGCATTGCTGACTCATTAGCATAGGTGGAGTTCAGTTTTGAGAACAGACCAGGACGCAGCGCTCGGGCGAGCAGCCACTGTGCACAAACAGGCTGACGTGCTCCTCCTCCCGCTCCTGTCCGCTCCTGGGAAAGGCGCACAGACAACAGCCAGGCAGCAGTGCTAGGGAGGCGGTGACAGCCGGCCAGGGCAGGACCCTCGGCAGGGCCTTGCCAGAGTTTGATGGACAGTGGGCTGTGGAGACGCAGGAAGCACATGTTTTGTACAGGGCTGTTTGCAAACCCTGACGTAAGCAACTGCAAACATGAGGTGACTTGGGAGCGGAGCAGGGCAGAGGGGGAAGGGAGCGGAGACGCAGGCAGGGCCACTGCAGGGCCAGCCTGTGTGGACTGGAAGGGAACAGACCTCTGTCAGAACGGTGTCTGTGTTAATACATGAGGTCCGTGTCGTACACTTGGCCACCCCTGTCCTTTTCTAATGTGCTTCAAGGACACTGTGCTAGACCCTCAGCTCACTTGACTGAATAATCTGATTCTCTGTCTGTCCAGTTTCAATCGCTTGGACCTGCCACCGTATAAGAGTTACGAGCAACTGAAGGAAAAGCTGCTTTTTGCCATAGAAGAGACCGAGGGGTTTGGACAAGAATAGAGGAGCTGTGGCTGGAGGCTCTGCGTCCGCACCTCCGCAAATATAAATGGTTCCGTTCTCACACAGAATCTGCAAAAGAACTCTTCCTTTTCTACTTTATTTATTGTTCCCTTGAACTGACAGACCAGGAAAACGATCTCCCTTAAATTTGGAAGTGAGAGACTTTATTAGAAATGAGTATCTACGTCAGCGGGCTGCAGCGGCTCTAGTTTTATAGAGCTGCTCGGCGACACGCCAGCTCCTGCCCATGTCTGGACGCTCCTCCTCAGCTCTGCCCCCCGTGACATCTCCGCATGGTGTGGGGTTCAGGAAGGTGCTGAGGCCGAGGCCAGATCTGAGGATGTGAACTGCGCTGCTGGCTGTTCTGAAGACGGTGCTGGAGCCCGTCAGTCTGTTCCAATTAAATGCGAGTGGAGAGTGCTCACCGTGCCGCAAGGCAGTGTGAGTGACACCACACTTAACCGAGTCCCCTGGCCAGACCCAGCGACGGCCTGGAGGTGTGTGCGTACTCCTCCAGGTGCTAGGATCTGTGGGACTAAAGAAGCTGGCACGCCTGCACTATTTTTAAAAATGTGATGGGCTTTAAGTTTAATTCATAATAAATTGATGCAATTTGATCCTGAGGGACATATAAAATGTAATGTGAACTTTTCCACTTTTATTTGTGTTCATAGTTTTGGTTCCTAAAACCATACGGATGGAAGAGTTTGTGAGCATCTGACTTCAAACCAATGAGTCTAATGATTTCCTATTAGTGTCTTAATATCTCCATTCCTTGAAAATTCATGAAAAATTCTATGTATCTGAATTACATAAGCAGATAAAAAAGTCTTTTGTCCTTCCCCCCTTTCTATATAGATCATTATTTTTGTCCTAAGTAAATACTTTTTAATTATTTTTCATTATCAAGGGCATTTGCTGAACTACAAACATGTATAACAAATTAAAATCTGATGTGAATGACATTAATGCTACTTTAGCAAACGGGGGCTTCCTTATTAATACAAAAATTTAAATTTGTATTATTTCAATATGCACTGTAAATTAACTTAAAATTTTTTATAACCACGGAAGTGACACCTTAGAATGTTAATATATTTCACTGCTGAGTACATATGAAAAATATTAGTATACAATTTAATTTCCCTAAACAGTTTGTGTTGCCAAAATTTTATTTTTCTATATATTAGATTGTGTTCTGCGTTTTTTCAAAACTCACAGTAAAGATGCAATAAAGGCAGTGATCCACGTGGCTGCTTAGACTCCTTTCCCCGACCTCACCATGACCGTGTACACGACAGAGGGCCCATCCTCAAGCGCTGCTCCTTACGCCGCCCACTGTGCCCACTGCTCTCACTGCACCCAACTCCCAGCCAACCCTGAGGCCCCTGGGGAGGTGGCCTGTCCAGACCCAGCAGAGCCCCCTCCCGAGGCTCCTCTGGACAAGCTGCCCCCTCTTGTCAGACAGCTCCTGCCGAGCGAAGGACATTGGTCACATGAACCCATGGCCCTCACCAAAGTCCAGTGATGCCCAGGCACACAGTCAACACAGGGCTAAAGTGAGCACCACACGAAAGCAAAAAATGCCACCAAAAAACTGTCCAAACGCGGCGTCTCCTACATGGCAATGCTCCTCGCCCGATGTTAGCACAGGGGCACAGGCCGACAGGCGACACTGGCGCTGCAGTGCTCACTGGGCCCAGCTCCCTCCTCGGCTCCACGGTGGGGTTTCCTGTTTCCCCTGCTGTGATGACGCACTTGCTTTCGAGAGAGGAGAGGGAGTCGAACAGATTCCCACAGAATTCCACCCACGTCAACAGGAGGGAAACTGCCAACAAGAAGTTGAGATGTTCAGGTTCTCACAGAACAGCAGGCCCTTTGCAAGTTCAGATTCTTGTCAGCCTCAAAAGAAGGGAATGTGTCTGCAGGGAGGTCGCTAACCACCCGCCCCCAACAGAACGCGCACTCCTGTGCCCACAAGGGGAAGGAAGGAGCCCGAGGCAGGGCCGCCTGGGGGGACATCTGGGTCCAGAAGCAGGTAGAGGTCTGACCTGAGGGAAGGGTGGGCATCAGTCTCCTCAGAGTCAAAAGGAAGAGACAGAAGGTGTACAGGACCGAGCGGGAAGTGCCTCGTCCTGGGGGAGGGAGCCCCCTTAGTCCCGAGGGAGGAGACAGCTCTGGCTCCAGCCCAGCAACGGCACAGCTGAGCTCTACCCCAGAGCCATGTGGGTCCCTAAGGTTACAGCACCAAAGACCCCCATGGCCTGATGCCTTCAAGGGATTAGGTTACATGAACGGGAACAACAGACAGTGAAATACAGTCAATGAAAGGAAAGGAAGCACTGACTGAATTTAGACGGATCTCAAAGAAATTCTGTGAGTGAACAAAGCCAACCTCCTGAAATGACAAAACTAGAGCCCAAGTCAGGGAGGGGGCGGGGAGTGGGACTCGGACACACCAGGGAGCAGGGAGCTCTGAGTGCAGGCAGGCGGTCTCCCAGTGCCCAGCTGCGGGCAGACTCGCTGTTACACTGGGCACGCGAGGCAGACGCACAGCCTCTGCACTAGTTTGCACAAAGAAAACAATAGTTGAAAGCTCTACAGAACATCAGCAGACAGACTTCTCCGCAGCAAAAGGCTTTATTACTGAGCAATACCTCGCTTCCCAGAGACCACTCGGCAGAGGGCAGTCTGCCCACGCCCCACCTCCCACGGCTCACCTGCTAATCCCACACAAGGGCTCGTCTTCAGAAAACAGCCTCAGAGCCACTCCAATGGAAGTGTAAACAACGTTGGGCAGAGAAGATCCAACATACACAACCAACCAGGTGTGAAGGGCACGGGACCACTGGTTCTCAAAGTAGGTTCCGTAAGGTCCATTGAACAAGGGACAATCTAAGACTGCTGGCCTGGCCACTTCACACAGTCACTGCTAAGAAAAAAGATGGGAGTGTTTCGTATTTCACAAACTGTAGGTGGGAAATCAAATGCAAGGTGTGACATTTGCATCCTGGCTTTAAAAAGTGTAAGACATTGTGACATTTGAGGAAACTTAAAGGTCTGGGTATGAGATGATGAGGGGGGACTGGGTTAAGGATCTAGCTGTGGTAATGGACTGTGAAGGGGGTCTGTATGATGAAGTGTTCGGGATGAACTACATCGTGTGCACTTAATTCAAGGTTGAGAAATATATATATGACCACACACACACACACACACACACACACACACACGGAGGCAGAATCTATGTGTGACCACACACACACATAGGCAGAATCCACATGTGATCACATAGACACACACAGAGGCAGAATCTACATGTGACCGCACACGGAGAGACACAGTCCACTGTTTCCCTTCGTGTTTGAGAGCACACATGAGACACCGCGTGCCCCAGTCACAGGGACACCACCCCTAACCCTCGGGGAGTCACCCATGGACCCTCATTCAAGATGGTCCTTTTCACAAACAGCAGACAGTGCCGGGGGCACCAGCCCGAGGACACAGCATCGTCTGCCTCTGTTTAAACATGTCCCATTCCTCCCTTGAGTTGTGTTCTTTTTACCCCATCAGGGAACAGACCTGGGCTCTGTCCTGTCACAGACCACCCCCTGTGAAACAAAGTCCCAGCATGCACAGAGACCGACCTGGGCTCCCTCCCCATACATCACTGATGCCCAGCACCCCAACTCGCAACCTCCTCACCCCACTGCCCCTTCTCTGCAGGGTCTCAGCTGGAGCCACCAGCTGGAAACGTGCCCCTCCATCCCATGTGATTGGTTCTCAAATGCCATGCCTGGAACGCTGGCACCCCAGATGCACAGTAACCGGCCCCCCACCACGGGACACCGCCACCACCTCACAGCAGTTACTGCTTCTGCCTTGTTATTTGTGAAGAATCTGTGTATTTAAGTTGTCACATGGTCACGTCATTGGCACTGAGAGCCGAGACCAGTCGTGTTCACACGCGTACAGCTGGTGGGAGGGCAACACCCTAGGTGTTGTGCGCTGCGTCTCTGAAACGCTCAGTTCTTGCCACTGAACTCTGCGAGCAACTGTGCGGCTTCTCTCTGTATCTAAAACGGAAAGACAGACGGCACAGCAGAGATCAGCTTGTGAATTCAGGGTCGCCGTGGACTGCAGTTCTGTGTCCATACCCAGGACGGCAGGTCGTCGGGACAGAATGTCTGGGCAGTGCCTGGGGAGGCGTTCAGACTTCCACAGAACACCCCCCTCCCCCGCCCGTTCGTCACACAGGAGTGACGGGATTGCAGCAAGGAATTCATAACGTGCTGATAGTAACTAAGCATTTGCTGTGCAGAGCTTAGCACAAATGTCAGTGCTTCACGTCTGAAACGTGCACCACTGCTTCCAACAAGCTGCACCACACAGCGAGGCTGGGCCTCGCCTCCCGCCTCCCGCCGCTGCGGGCGCACCTGCTTGTCCTCCTCGGTGCGGGTCGGATAGTCCTTGGCCTTCAGCAGCCAGAACGCAGCGAGCTTTTTGTTCTGTAGCTTCAAGTATGTCTTTCCTAAGAGAAGCAAGTTTTTGCTGTAGAAGTTTGGATCCACTGTTCACAAGAAAGAAAAATTTATCTCAGGCACAATCGTATTGCTCTTATTTTTACCACCCGCCCCCGACAGGCTTCCTGTTGGGGGTCTGAATTCCAGTTACCTGTGTGGTGAATAAATGACTATCCAACTGGGAACTTCCTGTTCATCTGTTCCTACCTCCAGACAATGTCACAGCTAATCCGGAGCACCTCTGGGTGCGGCTCCCGCTGCGCACTCTCACTCGCGGCCTTTTCTATGCAGGCGCTGGTCCAGGCTCCCAGCACAGGGCCTTCTCCCAGCTCACCTTACAAGCTAGAACCTAACATGCACTCAGCACGCGTGAAGTCATGACCACACACACACACACACACACACACACACACACACAGTACACGCCAGGCTAGCTTGTGCTGGGTGGGGCTACCCTTAAGCACAGATCAAACACAAGCTCTGCTCTTTGGGAATTTATAATGAAAAGGCCAGAGAAACAGGAGCATGATGAGTGTGCTGAGCAGGGAAGAAGGCGCCAACAGGTGTGAGCTGTGAAGTGCGAGGAGACACAGGAAGAGCCGCTCCCTCGTGGAGGCTGCACGGGCTGCGGCGGAGCAGGGTTGCGCAGGAAAAGGAGACCCGTCCTGCTGAGGGAACCCCCAGCACCACGTCTACCAATGAAAGTGGGATTCCTTACAGGTCCCCTCTCACCTGGGCCCTCGGTGCTCACATCCCACTTCTTCCTGGTGGCTGACCTCCGTCTGCTCCTTACCCCGTTGTCCTACTTCCTTCGCACAGACTTAGGGGCATCTGCCCGAGGCTGTGCTCACTTCCTCCCGTGACCCACACTCCTTCCTTCCTCTCTTGCTCAGCAAAGCGGCCCAGAACAGGCCAGCCAGCCCCACCTTCCCTGCAGGTAGCCTCAGAGGCACCGAGCACTCCGCTGCAGCAGGGCCCTGGCGGGGAAGTTAAAGTCTGAGGAGAGAGGAGACTTCTAGCCCAGACATGGCCAGGAGGAAAGGCGCCTCACGGGCCTTCAAGGTAAAACGCGGAGACGGCCACTCCCGGGGATTATTTTAGCTCCAGGAGAGTAAGCCCACTGTTTCCTCAGTCCCGGCAAACCTCCCCACTAACGCCCTTCAGGAAACTTCACTCCTAGGCCCCATTCAGAGACGGAAAACCCCATGAGGTGGTGGACAGAGGCCATAAGCGAGCCAGAGCAGCTGTGTGACAGACAGAGACATTCTGACAATTGTTCAGAAAAGCTGCCTTCTTATGCTTTGCTGTCCTGAGAGCCTGGAACAAGTCCTTCCGAGCAGGCTCACAAACCTAATTTTCTGAGTAAGTTTTGTAGAAATACACCTGCATTTTTTTTGGTGTATTTGGTAACATGCTATGTGTCCCTGACTTCTGTGGTTTTAACTTAGAAGGCCTGGGGAGGGGAAGAGAGTGGGGGCACAGAAAGGGGGACATCTGTAATACTTTCAACAAAAAGATACATTAACAAAAAGGATAAACACAGGACAGTGGGGCAGTGAGTGTGGAGGCTGCCATTTCCTCAGAACGAGAGAGGCACGAAATGCCGAGCGGCCGGGATGAAACTCCAGGGAACCAGGCGGCCAAGTCAGGCGTGCGGCCCGGAGCCCAGAACCAGCAGCAGGGCCACTCCAGAGTGCGGCAAGGCCCACTCCTTATTTCATTTTTAAATCCGCACTCACGGATGTGTTTCTTATTGACTTTAGAGAAAGGGGAGGGGGGGGAAGGGGGATGTCGATCGGTTACCTCCCTTACAGGCCCCGATCAGGAAATTAAACCAGCAACCTGGGCGTGAGCCCTGACAGAATCCAAGCTGCCACCTTTTGGTGCATGGAGCATGTTCCAACCAGCTGAGCACACGCCAGGGCAGCGGGGCCTACACCTTACTCAAGTGAATAAAACCTTTAAAGACTGTTTGATAAAGCCCAGTACAAAGGTGTGTCAGGATAAAGTATCTTTGTTTTAAAATTCCTAACTATATAATAAAAGCCTAAGCGACCATTACAGCAGAATGACCAGAACGACCGGTTACTATGATGCACACTGACCACCAGGGGGCAGATGTTCAACGCAGGAGCTGTTCCCTGGTGGTCAGTGTGCTCCCACAGGGGGAGCGCCACTCAGCCAGAAGCTGGGCTCACAGCTGGCAAGCGTGGCGGCGGTGGCAGTGGCAGGAGCCTCTTCCACCTCCGCAGCAGTGCTAAGGAGCAGCGAGCAGGCGGTAAGGAGCAAGGGTTCCCGAACTGCGAGAGGGATGTCCAACTGCTGGCTTAGGCCTAATCCTCGTGGGGAGCCTAAGCCGGAGGGCGGACATCCCTGAGGGGTCCCAGACTGCAAGAGGATGCAAGCCGGGCTGAGAGACACCTCCCCCTCAGTGCACAAATTTCATGCACCGGGCCTCTAGTTATATATAAAGCATTCACATAATTTTAACTATATTAGTATCTGAAATAAAAAATATTTTACCTTGCTCTGCCTTTTGGAAGTAGCCTAAGGCCTGTAAAAACACAAAGAATGCAAACATAATGAAAAGGATTAAAATAGATTCAATATTTAAAAATGTTCTCAAACTCTATTCCTATTTTACATACAAGCAAGGAAGTAGATGAAAACCCCTTAAAATAACAGCCCAATCACCAACAGTAAGCGTAACATAGCACTCAAGGCCCTGAGCACAGAGCACATGGGCCCTCGAGCCCCAAGGTCCCGGGGGGGCGGTGGCAGGAGCCTCTTCCACCTCCGCAGCAGTGCTAAGGAGCAGCAAGCAGGCGGTAAGGAGCAAGGGTTCCCGGACTGCGAGAGGGATGTCCAACTGCTGGCTTAGGCCTAATCCTCGTGGGGAGCCTAAGCCGGAGGGCGGACATCCCTGAGGGGTCCCAGACTGCAAGAGGATGCAAGCCGGGCTGAGAGACACCTCCCCCTCAGTGCACAAATTTCATGCACCGGGCCTCTAGTTATATATAAAGCATTCACATAATTTTAACTATATTAGTATCTGAAATAAAAAATATTTTACCTTGCTCTGCCTTTTGGAAGTAGCCTAAGGCCTGTAAAAACACAAAGAATGCAAACATAATGAAAAGGATTAAAATAGATTCAATATTTAAAAATGTTCTCAAACTCTATTCCTATTTTACATACAAGCAAGGAAGTAGATGAAAACCCCTTAAAATAACAGCCCAATCACCAACAGTAAGCGTAACATAGCACTCAAGGCCCTGAGCACAGAGCACATGGGCCCTCGAGCCCCAAGGTCCCGGCGCAGCCTCACCCAGAGAAAGGAGGCCGTGGGCAGCTCGCTCTCCTCTCTCTTCTTCAGTCCCAGCAGGGAACACCCTGAAAACTAGACAAAGTGGAAAGCTGCGTTTCCTCAGTGACACACTGGTTCTACCAGGGAGTTTTTAAAGTTCTTTATTATTGAAACTAGAGGCCCGGTGCACAAAAATTTGTGCA